GGGAGGGAGAGAGAGAGAGAGAGAAAGGAAGGAAGGAAGGAAGGAAGGAAGGAAGGAAGGAAGGAAGGAAGGAAGGAAGGAAGGAATCTGGGAGGAGAAAAAAAGAAGTAGCCAGAAATGGAGGAGGACTCCAGGGGCCAGGCACCCAGCTATACAGCAAGCCACAGAGTAAGAGTAAGATTTACAGAAGAGGACCGGAAAAGCCCAGAGGCAAAAGGTATTTAAAGTTAATGAAAGCTAGCAAGAAATAAGCCAAGCTAAGGCTGGGCATTTATAATTAAGAATAAGCCTCTGTGATAAATGCAGCACTGTATGATCAACATGAATTTTTTTTTTTTTTGAAACAGGCTCTCACTATGTTGCTCTGACTGACCAAAGCAACATATGTGAGAAGCTGGGACCTTCCTCACCCACAACTTCAGAGACAAGTGAAAGACATGTCTGAAAGTGTTTGCAAACAAAATTGAGAAGTATGGAAGAACAAAGCAGTTGCTGTTTCTAAGGACTGGAATACAATAGTTTCAAGCATCTAGAGGGAGCTCATGGACTATTATGTAGACGAGATTATTAATCGGTATGGCACACTGGTGTGTAGATTATTTTAAAGCAGTGGTTCTCACGTTTCCTAATGCTGTGACCTTTAAATACAGTTCCTCATGCTGTGGTGACCCCAATCATAATATTATTTTGTTGCTGCTTACTAACTGCAATTTTGCTACTGCTATGAATCATAATGTAAATATCTGATATGCAGGATATCTACTATGTAACCCTGAAGGGGTTGTGACCAACAAGTTGAGAACCTCTGCCTTAAACGGACTTGGAGATCAGCCAGAAGAGGCTGAACACTGAATAGTTCCTTATCTGCCTTAATTCTTAACCCATCAAAGAAGAAACTTTTGCTGGGAGGAAAAAACTGGAATAAAGCACAACTAGCCAGAATTATAGTATTTGTCTTCCGGTTTATTATGATGACGGACATTATTTACAATCTGTGTCTTCTGGAGCCATTCACCTCTAAAATATTTGTATTCTAAATTGTCTAAATTGCTATACTCTGGTTCTCCCTCTCTCACGCACCCCCCCCCCCACACACACACACAAAAGTGCATTTTAGGGACTTGGAATCAGGCCCAACCAGGATTTGTGCTTCTCAGAATTTCAGAATAGCCAGCTTAGTTTAATAGCTATTTTCATATAGAACATCAGCTCTGATAATCGGCAGAGAAAGGAAGGTAACCGCTGTATTGTGAGGTAAGTGCTCAGAACGTTCCGTGCCACGCAATGACCAACGCGCCAAGTGGACTCGCCAGACCAGTGCGTGGCCCACCGCAGCTCAAACGGTTTTTCCCCCCAGCAGCTTCTCAATTTCAGGCCTGGGGAGGAGGCCAGAAGCCGGGGCCCCGGGACCGACTGCTCAGGCCCTGCTGCCGGCAAACGGCGGGAGAAAACACACAAGGACAAGGGTGAGTTACGAGATCAGAGTCCAACACCCAGACGGGCTCGCAGGCCGCCAACCGACTCCACACCCCTTCCAGGGGCTGATGACGAACTCAGGGTGCGACGGACGCACACGCAGCCCGCGCTCGCACGACAGTACGTGCAGGGCAGCGCGAGGGAGTCCCGGTCCGACACCGGCGCGACTCGCGTCCCGCCTCCTCCGCGCCGCCACCCCCGCAGCTCCGGGTCCGCCTCGGTGCGAGGCCGCCGCCGCCGCAGCCAGGCTGCTGGCCCCGGCCCTGTCTCTTTAAGTGGTGGGGCCTGCGGGCCGCCCCTGCCGCTGCTGCCTAGGTGGCCCCGCGCGCCGCTTTTGAGGGGCGAGTCAAGATGGCGGCGGCTTTGGCTCTGTGAGGAAGACGGAAGAGGCGGTGGGTTGGGGAAGGCGACTTCTAAGAAGAGTTAGGGGTTGTCGGGTCGCCAGGGACGTTCAGAGTCTCCCGGGTAGCGTTAGCTCGTCGGCCTCGGATGCTTTAAGCGCGAGGAGCGGAGCGGAGGCTCCGGCTGCAGCGGCAGGGCCGGGTACAAGGGAGGAAAACATGGCGGCGGCGGCGGCCTGAGGAGGCGGCGGCGGCGGCGCGGGAAGCGGCTCTGCGGAGGTCATGGCGGCGGCGGGAGCAGGGCTGTGAACCGAGCTGCCCCTTGTTGGA